CAAACCCAGACATTCCAGACACTGAAAAACACCCACACCATCCGATCGGATGGCGTGGATGGTGGAGAGCATGGGCTCGCCCTGGCCGCGCGCCGCTCTGGCTCGCTCTCGGGCCCGCTCGGGCCCTCTGGATCGGCCGGAGGGCCCGGGGGATTTCGAGCCCGCCGCGGGTCGAGGTTCGGGGCAGCACCAAGCGCATCCGTGTATTTCCCCCACCGGGGGGGGGGCGGTGGGTGAAAAAAAGCACCGCGCAATTTTTGGGTGGCAGACCGAATTTTGCGGCGCGGCTGGAAAGCCCGAGCGCCCCGTCAGAGGGCCCCGACGAAAGCCCGCGAGGCTCGGCGCGCGGGGTTCGCTGCGAAGCGGCGGTATCCGTGAATCTAGATCGATGCAAGCACAGGGCGTCAGGAAGTTCTACGTGTGCACATATCTATGCAGCCAACATGGAAATATGATTATACTATAAAGACCTACACAAGGATAGAACGACCTGTACATAAGTGTAGTTGAAAACCGTCAATATAGATCTGTCCAAGTATAGAGCTATCAACAGATCTACACAAGTACGAGCAGCTACTATTGGAAGTTTAATGCCGACTTTCAGTACGATATAGATTTGTTCAATGCCCGACGTATTGCCCCCAATGCCTCGCCGCGCAAGCAGCAGCAGTCAGATTTGGTGCCCAGTTTCCGAAGCTTCGGGGTATGCTCCTTGCTGGCGACCTGGCTGGGCGCGCTTGGCCATCGCGACCCGCGGGCTGGGTTCGGCGAGTCTGGCCGCCGCGGTCGGGGCCGCCCCGGAAGCCGTTGTCGGCGGACTTGAAGGCTGAGGGTAGCTCCGAGCCGCAATTGCGACGGGTCGGCGAACCTCCGCGATAGCCCAGGATGGCCCGAAGAGGTTTTAGTGACATTTCCGAGGGCGGCCCAGGGAGGGCCCCGAGGAAGACCCAAGAGGGTCGCTCATTATTTTCCTAGAATATTGAGAACATCGGCGCGAGTTCTCTCAGGACCACCCCTCGCGGCGCCCGCCGCGAGTCATCGGCCCCGCGAGCGCCTCGCGAAGCCGCGAGGAGACGTCGAGGGGCCACCGGATATGCCCGAGAGGCTCGGGGGGGGTGGGTGCTCGGGACTTCGGCGCCGCGGCGTTTCACTTTGAGGCCCTCTCGGGGCCCTCCAGGGGGCCCTCTCGGGGCGCCGCGGGGGCTTCGCCTGGGCCCCGCGGATGCCGATGGCGCCCCGGGACAATGTCGAACGCGCCCCCCAGGTCCGAAGGGGCGCCCAAGGCTGCTCCACGAAAACCGCGGGGCGAGCAGTCGCGGCGCTTCGCTGCCAGACTTGTCGCTTCCCTTTTTCCCTTAATTGAAATCCCGCCCTGGGGCTTCCGCGGCGCCCCCCCCCCCCCCCCTCCCCCGCCCTCCCCAGAGGGCGCGGCCCGCGCGGGCGTGGAGGAGCGCCTCTGCTCAGAAGGGCTGCCGGGCGTCGGGGCGGGAAAACGGGCGTTCCGCTGGGGCGTAGCTCGGCCCAGAGCCCCGGCCTCTCGGGGCCGGGCGACGCCCCGAAACGCCCCCCTTGAGACTCTCGTGGTAGAAGTGTCTCAGTGAAGTCGCTCCCCTTAGATTTTTCGGAGATCATCGATTCCCATTGTGTTCGGTCGATACTTGTTTGATATTGTTTTGGGGCTCCCCGATGGGGGGCGGGTGCGTCGGGAATTCGCTACCCTTTGATTGTTTTGGCCGCATTGCGGGGCTTGTTTTTTTTTTTGGGGGGGGGGGCATTTTTCGGGGGGGGGGGGGGCTTCTTTGATTCATGGTTGGCGCATATTGCATACTTGTCTGGCATTTTTTTTTTGGGGGGGGGGCTCGAGGCAGTCTGAAACAAGTGCAGAACAGTTTCAAACTAGCCCCGCCGCCCCCGAGCGCCTCAAGACAGTTTTAAGCAAGTTGCAAGTCACTTTTAAACGAGCGTCGAAACCGCGCCCCAGGGCACTGGCGCGGCACTCCCACGAGAGAAACCAAATGACAATTCCACGCAAAAAGCTTCAACGCCGCATCAAAACAGCGTCGAACGCATCTCCGCCGACGTCGGCGAAACGCATTGCCGCGGAAGAGCCCCCAAGAGAGCGCCCGCGCCAGAGGGGCCCCTTGGGTGGGGCCCAGGGGGGGGGGCTCACCATTGAAAGAGTCTCTGCGGCGGGTCTCCAGGAGTCTCGACGCATCGGCAATCGCTGGGGGGGCCCCGCGACGACCCCGAGAGAGCCCCAAGATGGCACCAAGAGGGCCCAAAGAAAGCTCCAGGAGGACCTGGGAGGCCCCTTCTTGGTGCGCCCTTGGAACCCAAGGCCCCAAGAGGGCCCCAAGAGGCCCCCAAGAGGGCCCAAATGCGGCCCGAAGAAGGCCCGAAGAGGCCACCGAGACGCGCCCAGGGTTGCCCCGAGACAGGTCCACGACGGGTCCAAAAATACTACGCCACGGAGGAGCCCGAGGACCCCCCACCCCCCTGGGGTGTCCAAAAAGAACCCGTGGACACCCCCAGGGGGGGGGGGGGTCCTTGGATTCCCCTGGGGCGTCTTGTTTGGGCCCGTTTTGGACCTGTCTTGGAAACGACGCGGTTCCCTCGGGGATCTCCGAAGGCCCCGGAAAAGGTCTCCACGGTGGCCCACAGAGGCCCCCAAGAGGGCCGCGAGAGGCCTCCGAGAGGGCACCAAGAGGACCGCAAAGCAAGATGCACGAACGCCTTCTGTAGGTTTTGCCTTTGGGCACCAATTCGGGGTTCGTTTGGTGGGCGCCCCATTGGGCAACTTTTCCGGAAGCCTTGTTGGGGGGTCCAGCGGGGCCCCGAGAAGTTCCCAAGAGGGCCCCGAGATGCCCCCGCCTCCCACGAGGGCTCCAAGAAGACCCCCAGAGCGGCCCAAGAGCTCGGCGTGGATCTTGAATCGTCTTCTGACGGTCCCGAGCCCCGACGAGAAGACCCAGATATCAGATGTTCTATTTTAGGCATTGAACAGAACATTTGCGTCGAGACGCCGCCCCCCCCCTGCGCCCGCCATCCCGAGCCTCCCTCGCCCGCCCTCCATCAGCGCCGCTCTTCTCCTCCATCCCCCATCCCCCCCCTTCATCTCCCCCGCCCTCCTCCTCCTCGCCCCCCCCGTCCTCGTCTAAGTTGCTCGCCAACCCCGCGGGCCCCGCGCCCTCGCCGACGCGGCGGGGGCGCTCCCCGGCGAAGAGGCCCGCGCCCCCTGGCAAATTGCGGAGCACGGTCTTCGCGCGCTCGCGAACAGGATGCGCCAGCACAAGATGCGCTAAATTATCATTGTGATCTGGCTGCGCGGCGTAGAGGGAGCCGAGATCCATGGCCCGCGCCGCCAGCGCGCCTAGCGGTCTGCCACGGGCAGCCTAGCCCCTGGCGCCGCTGCCCCGACCCACCGCCGACAAACCGCATCAGCCATGCTCGGGGCCCTCTCCGCAATGCGCGATGGCCCCGACGCCGCCTGGCAACTCCACTGCAATCTCGGCTGGCTCGCCGGCCGCCCGAGACCCCGCGCAGCGATGGAAAAAGGGGCGGCGGGGGTTGGGGGCGGCGGCGGCCAGACGGGCGGGCGCGTCGGGGGGCCCTCCGCGCGCCGCAGATCCTCGCCGCCGCGGCCGCTGAAGAGCTCGCCCACGTCCTCCCTCGGGCCGAGGGTGCGAGGGCGAGGCGATTGGATGCGTCGAGAAGGCGACCCGCGGCCCTCGAGGCGGCTCGAGGCCCGAGGCGGCCCCGCAGTGGCGCAGCGTGGGCAGCGGCAAATCGACTACAATTGCGTTTTTTGGGGTCGCCGATTGCCTGAAGATGGCCCAGGGCCCAGGATGGTCGCCTCGATGATCCCCGAGATGGTTCCGAGATGATCCAAGACGCCCTGCTGTGGCGGGGCGAAGGGAACTGCGGGTTCCATGGTGGCCCCGCGATGGCGGAACTCGTTTTATTTCAAATTGAGCGCTGCCAATGCCAATGTCGAAGCCATCTCGGGCCCTCTCGGAAAACCCTGGAGTCCACTCTGGCGGTCTCGGGAAATCTCCGGCAGCCCCGATCGCGGCGACGGGCGCGGGGGGGTGCGGGGGCAGCGGCGGAGGCGCGCGAGCGCGGGCGAAAACGACGTGCAAATTTGACGGCGTCAGCGCTGTTTCAGACATCCCATCCTTTCCGAGATGGCCGCTCTCGCCCTCGAGGTCGTCGACCTGGACCTCGGGGTCGGGCGGCTCGTCCTCCATGGGCGTGGGCGCTTCGCCCTGTGGCTCCGAAGCGACGCTCTCGCCGTCGCAGTCCTCCGCGGCCAATCCAGGCATTCGCCTTCTCCGCCTCGGCGGCCAGCGACCGGGCTCGCCGCCCGCGGCGAGCGCGACGACGTCGGCAGGGCGGGGTCGGGCGATGGAGCGATCCGCTTAGTCAAGGGCCCAGAAGCTCAGCGTCTAAGTGACCGCCAGGTCCAGCTTGGCGAAGGGCAACCAGTCGACCAGACTCTAGTCGCCAGTCTTCCGAGGGAAGCCCCTTCAAAGAAACGGAACTCGCGCCCCTCCCCATCCGCCCCCTCTTCCCACCCATCACCCCCCCCTCCCCCCCCCCTCGCCTTCCCCGTCGCGGCTGCCCCGCCCCCGCCCCCCGCCCCCGCCCCCCGCCCCCCCCTGCTTCGAGGAGGGGGCCCGGCGGGCGGGGCGGGGGCGGGCGAGGGGGGGGCAGCGCTGGACGGACAGGGCGCCCGCTCTGCTCGAGACGGCGCGGGGCCGCGCAGCTTGCGCCAGGCGGTCTTAACCCCGTAGCCCTTGCACGACAGGTCGCGCAGCATGCTGGGGCACGCGGTTTGGGGCCCACGCCTAGCATGGTTTTCGCGGCCCTAAGCCCCCAGCAGTTTTGTGGAAACAATCGCTGACACTGAAACCTCTGTTAGAAATCAAGCCCCCATCGGCTCGGCGCGTTTCCTCTCTCGTTTTCAAGTTTAAGCGGCCTCTACATATGCTTCCACCAACCCGTTGACCGCGGCCTCCGAGACGTAGCGCATCGGCCTGAAGGCCGAACAGTGGGGGGTATACTCGCAGGCCCCGGTGCACCACCACGCGTAGACAGTGAAGCCCTCCAGGTCGTCGCCGACGACGTCCGCCAACGCCGCGCCCCAGTCGGGCTCGGCCGCCCGCTCGGGGCCGCGGGCCCTCGCGACCACAGGGGCCGTTCGTTGTCCACGGGCTTCCGCCCGGCCAGGCCGTAGCTGCACACGCCCTTCAGCTCGGTGTGCAACAGCCTGTGGGATCGGACGAGATCGCCAGCCTCCGGGCAGCAAGCGCGCGCGCCGATCTGCGCGCACAAGGCCTTCTTCTGCTGCGGGGGGCGTCGAGAGGCCGACAATCATCGTCAATGATCGCCTTGTGCCGTTCCATCCAATTATCCACGAGGCACTTCTTCAGATTGTCGCGTCCGGGAGCCATCCGCGCCGCGCGGGCCAGCGAAGCTGTTGACGCGGTTAGATGCTTGAGCTCGGCCATCGCGCCGACAGGCGAACGCGCGGCGGCCGGCGCTGCCGCGACAGCAGAGGCCCCCCTGAACACGCGGAAAGACAACGCCAGGCTCGTCTCGCCCGCTGTCGACTGCCACCCGCGCAGCGCCGCGTCGAGCCCCCGACCCTCGGCCTGGAGCCTGGATCAAGCGGCGCAGGCCCTGAAAGTTAACGCTGGCCGCCCTCGGCAGCTCGCCCATGTTCCCAGAGTCGGCCTGGGCGGCGTCTCTTCGAATGGCCAGGCCAGAGGCCGCGCCCGCACTTGCATCCGCGGTCGCGCCCACCGCAAGCAGCCGCTGCGCATGCACCCTCCGTCGCCGTCTGTCCCGGGCTCGATCGACGTCGCGAGCGCGAAGGCCAAGCGAGTTACCCCGAGCATCGACAGGTCGATTCGCCCCCCTTGCCGAAGCCGCCAGGCGGCGCAGCCTTTCGAGAGCGGCGCCACTCAGCTCGCGGCGTGTCCGATTGAGCTCGGCCATGTTCCGGGCCCCCCCCCCGTTCGCCCATGGTCTGCTCTCGCGCGCGGGCGCGCCGGCTGCTGACTGGCCCCCTCTCCGGGCGGCCGTCGCCGTCGTCGCCGGGCCTGGCCGGCCCGTCGGTATTTCCGCCAGCCGCGGTTGCGAGGGCCTCCGCAGCTTCGACCGTAGTGCAGCCTACACTCCAAGTCGCTGCGGGCACCGTCGCTGCGGGCATCGTCTCCAGGGCATTATTCTGGCCCCTCTCCAAGTGGGTGGTGGTGTTGGCGAGGGCGGCTGCGCGCCCGGTCCACGTGGCTGGGCTGACGCCCACAGCGTCATGAATCGAAGCCTTCGGCGTCGTCCTGCCGCTCATGGAGCTGCCAAAATCCATGGGCACGCCGTTCAATTTAGCTGCATCGCCATCCGCGTCGGCCCGCTGCGGCTCCACAGCGATAGACCCCGCGCGCGCGGGAGCAAACGCAACTCGACGAAGGCCGCGGGCCTCCTGCCACTGCCATCGGCGACGCACCTCGGCACGGTGGGCAGGCCCGCCCGCTGCGTCAGTGGCAAGCCAAGACATTCGCCCGACCCGCGGTCCCAGGGCTCTTTCTGCGCTTTTTGACAGCGGGCCTCCTCGGGGCCTCGACCGCGCCGCCGCCCGTGGCAACCAAGGCCTGCCCATCGCGTTCCTCTCCCAAAATGTCTGCCAGCACGTCGTCCCACCCATCGCCCATGTCCGCTCGTCGCGCGTGCACAACGGCGATTTGCAGCAAATGAGTGCGCCGTCGGACCTGGCCGCGATGCAAAGAAAGCTTGAGCCAAAGCGGCTTCGCTGAAGACGATGGCGGCGATGGCGCAGGATCCTTGACACCTGTTAGAACCCTCTTAGCGAAATGCGGTTTAGGAAAACCATGGGATCACCGATTTCACCCCCTCCCTCCCCTCGCCATTCGCCCCCCCCTCCCCCACCCCCTCCATCCTCACGTCCCTGCCCCCCATGGCCCCGCCATGTGGCCGTGCGCGCGCTGGGCGCGATGCCGAGCGCGCTCCATCCAGCTGCCTGCTCTTTGCAGGAAGGAGGTTGAGCTTTCGGCGCAAACTTCATTTGCCCCGCGACTCCCCCCCCCCTCCTTGCGCGAACTCATTAGCAAGGGGGATCATATCAGTAAGCCTTGCGCCTCGCGCCGCTCGCTCTTAAGTTATCGGAAGCGCGACGGTGCGACGTGGCAGGAGACCCAGCAACGCGCCCTAACACTGTTCCTCCCGGGGCACTCGTGCGTTGCGGATGCGACACTTGTTTCGCGACCGCTTCGAGATTGTGCCCAGCCATCCTGTGGCGTTGGGTCGTCGTTTTGAAGAGACATCGCCCCGCGCCGCTCCCCCTCCTCTCCCTCCCTTCTCTTTTTTTTTTTTTTCTCTCTCTCTCTCTCTCTCTCTCTCTCTCTCTCTCTCTCTCTTCTCTTTGTTTCTCTCTATCTTTTCTCTCTCTCTCTCTCTCTCTCTCTTTCTCTCTTCTCTCTTTTCTCTCTCTCTCTCTCTCTCTCTTTTTTTTTTTTTCCTCTTTCTCTCTCTCTCTCTCTTCTCTCTCTCTCTCTCTCTTCTCTCTCTCTCTCTCTCTCTCTCTTTCTTTCCCGCTGTGACCGCCCGCGTGCGCCGCGCACCGCCCAGCGCAGCGGCTCGCGGCCCCGCAGGGGGCTCCGCCGAAGGCCCCAGTGGGGCCGCCCGCATGCGTCACGCACCACCCAGCGCAGCGCTTCGCGGCCCCATTGGGTGCCCCACCGAAGGCCCCAATGGGGCCGCCCGCATGCGCCGCGCGCGACCCAGCACAGCGCTTCGCGGCCCCATAGGGGCCCCACCGAAGGCCCCAGCGGGGCCGCCCGCGTGCGTCACGCACCACCGAGCACAGCGCTTCGTGGCCCCACATGGGGCCCCACCGAAGGCCACAATGGGGCCGCCCGCGTGCGCCACGCACCCCCCAGCACAGCGGTTCGCGGCCCCGCAGGGGGCTCCACCGAAGGTCCCAGTAGGACCGCCCGCATGCGTCACGCACCACCCAGCGCGGCGCTTCGTGGCCCCACAGGGAGCCCCACAGAAAGCCCCACAAAAGGCCCCAGTGGCAAAGACCGCATGCGCCCCCCCCCCCCCCCCCCGCCCAGCAGAACGTTTCGTTGCCCATAGGGAACTCCGCCGAGGCCCCAGTGGCAAAGTCAGCATGCGCGCCCCCCCCCCCCCCCCCCCACACATACACACACGCACACGCACACACACACACACACACACGCACGCACGCGCGAAACGCACACGCGCACACACACGCACACGCACACGCACACACACACACACACACGCACACACGCACACACGCACACACGCACACACGCACACGCACACACGCACACACGCACACACACACACACGCACACACGCACACACGCACGCACGCACGCACGCACACGCACGCACGCACTCACGCACGCACGCACACACGCACACGCACACACGCACACACGCACACACGCACACACGCACACACGCACGCACGCACGCACGCCACACGCACGCACGCACGCACGCACGACGCACGCAACGCACGCACGCACGCACGCACGCACGCACGCACGCACGCACGCACGCGCACACGCACGCACACGCACACGCACACGCACACGCACGCACGCACGCACGCACACGCACACGCACACGCACACGCACACGCACACGCACACGCACACGCACACGCACACGCACACGCACACGCACACGCACACGCACACGCACACGCACACGCACACGCACACGCACACGCACACGCACACGCACACGCACACGCACACGCACGCACTCACGCACGCACGCGCGCAGACACACACACACACACGCACGCACACACACACACGCGCGCACACATACACGTACACACACACACACGCACACACACACACACGCACACACACACGCACACACACACACACGCACACACACACACACACGCGCGCGCACGCACGCACGCACGCACAGCACAACGCGCCGTGGCCCATGGCGAGCCCCACCAAAGGCCCCAGTGGCAAAGTCCGCATGCGCCCCCCCCGCCAAGCACAATGTTTCGTGGCCCATAGGGGTCCCCGCCGAAAACCCCAGTGGCAAAGCCCACATGCGTCTCTCCCACCCAGTGCAGCGCTTCGTGGCCCATATGGGGCTCCACCGAAGGCCCCGGCGGCAAACTTATCTTCGCATGCGCCCCCACCCCCCCCCGGCACACACACGCGCACGCACGCGCGCGCGCTGCCCGCCCACCGCCACCGCCGCCAGTGCAGCGCTCCGTGACCCAGGGGGAGCTCCACGGAAGACGATGCCCATAATTGCGGCGCTCACAATTGCATATGGCAGCGTCCTTCGCCAGGGTAAGTACGGTGTGTTTTTGGGGGAGTCTGCCAGAAACGTGGGAAAACATTGTTTGAGACGATTCGGCGAGGTCTTGGCGAAGCATTGATTTAGTGGGCTGGAGAAGGCGCGCCCTTTCATAAACATAGCTTGCACGCGCATAGCTTACACCGCCTATGCTACACCCCAGGCTGCGCCACGCAGACTGCACCACCTGAGTGAGAGTTGACCGCGTATATTTCACCATATACAGTATTGCATCTAGCCTTCCATGTATTCCTTCCCCCAAGGAGCGCGTTCCCGACCCCCGTGCCAAGGCCATGCTAATCGATTCCCACCAGGTCATTGACTTCCCTTCTAACCCGGCACGGTCTGTCAGTCGTCTTATCAAACCCGCACCAACGCAGCATCGCCAGTATCGGTTGCCCCGCCATTCTCATAAAATGATGTGATTATTTTCGCACGCGCTGCCGAACACATGTCACCATGCGGGCCGTGCTCGCGCGTTTCCAGAGCGCGCGCACGTTGACTTAATATTGCTTCAGAGTTTATAGAATTGGAGAACAATCGCTCGTCAAACTACATCCTAGGCGTCCGAGGACGCCTGCTAGTGTTTTCAATGTTGGAGGGAGCATTTCACGATCTCCTATACTGAACTACCTTAGATACTGTGCAATACTAGGTTGCACTACGTGAGTCCACAGGCCACGAGCAGAGACCAGCGGCCACTGTTGAGACCAAGGCTAGGGACAGCGAGCTATGGTGAGACGACGAGCCACGGCCAGAGTCCACGAGCCACGGATCTGGGATCGCACAACATATTCACTTGCCGTTGAAGCATTATGTAAGGCACCCATAGACTATGGCTAAGGGAGCCACGCTTCTCTGTCAAGCATGCAGCGTGCTCTGCAAGCGTGCAAGTGCCGATGCCATTTAGTGTTGTGTACCCATTGCCACATGGGGCCATGCAGGCCACGCGCGCGCGCCGCCGCGCGATGATTTCGCTGTGAACTCTTTAGAATCAGAATTATAGATTCCTCCGCCAACCTGGCCAACCAACACTACGCGAGCCACCCGCGCACAAGTTGAAACCATTCACGAACCAAATCAATTCTTCAAACTACAACCGAGTCCACCATCGCCCCCCCCCCCCCCCGAGGTTCACCGCCCCCACCTCGCATTTCAGTGCGCATGCGATTCTACCGTGTCTTTTGTTGTCCATATGAATTCATGCGCCCCCGCCCAGCCAGCATCGACTCCCTGCTCAAGACTTCCATGCGTGTACATTCGATTC